CGCGGGGAGGAAGAAGGCAAAGGCTTGCGGAGCCGGGAGCAAGGTAACGGTGTGGTTGAGGGGAGTGAGGCGGATCGCTGGATAAACGCTGCTGCTGCTGATAATAATAATGCAGTCTAAACATCTGGCTGATTGCGACCAACCATAATAATATCCATCCTTTGACATATGGCCCGTGGTGACATTTTCTTGTTTTTAAAATTCATTTTTCAATGCTTTTTAATTAATGTAGAGAAAAGAACAGGAAATTACGGTTGACAGAACAACGTCGTCTTAAAATGTTTACAGCTGGCTTCCTACTGTGATTCCCCCCTCCCCGGAAACATTTAAGAGTTTACCCTGTGTAAAAATAGAGAAATCCCACTGCCCCCCACAAGAGGGGAGGTGGAAGTCGCGTAAAATCTTGTACGTGGGGATACGGCCTAACGTAATCTCTCTCTCTCTCTCTCTCTTTGAAAGCTTAAGGGAAGGTGGATTGTGAAACTCTTCTGATAGATTTTATTTCTCTCAGGTGAACACATTGCTGTTTTGGAAGGGAAATATAGAAAAACCCCATACGAAACCCAATATTGCCCCTGTGACACAGGTGCTGTAGAAACCACAGCCCATGTTCTTTTGTATTATCAGTTCTACAGGGACATTTGCCATCAGTTGATTACCCCCCTTTTATTTAAATTTCCAGGGCGCTCTGATAATTTTTATTTGCATTTTCTGTTAAATAACCAAGATTAATGTATTTCTCTAAAAGTAGCAAAAATTTGGTACACTATGTGTAAGCTTCATCCACAAATGGTTGCCAACAGTTATTGATGTTAGGGGATAATTTTGCTTAGTTTTATAGAATGTATTTTTATCGGTCAATGACTGATCTGTCTGTCTACAACATTTATTGATGTCTCAGTTTGGATCAGCGTATTTTTGGCCTTGGAGGCATCCAAGTAATATGGCCTCAATTACTTGTGACTTATGAATTAGTTGCCTATAAGAAGTTATTTGGATGATTACAATGAAATATGGTCATCTTTTATTGAAACTGTTATGTAAAATTTCATATATATACACACACACACACATACATACACACACACATGTATATATGCATAAGAAGCCCTTATATATATAATTTATAGTTATTGCAGTTTTCCTTTTTTTGTTACATTTTTTTCTTTTCTATTTTTGCTCTCTGTTCTGTTTTATTAAATAAATAAAAAAAGGTGGTCCTGCAAATATCCAAGTTCTGAGCTATACATTTTAGAACAAAATAAATGTGTAAAATTATATTGCTTCACTATCCTCTAGCACTGCTGTCAAAAGAGTTTTTAAATGTTAAATATAAATATGGTGTTATATATATGTGTGTGTGCATGTGTGTGTAATTATATGTATATGTTATAATTACATACACATATATTTATGTATGTCTCTGTGTTTATGTGTATGTATGTATATATATAAATATTTGAATTTGATCAACAGGTCTATGGATATGGATAACCCTGTGGTTTCTTTGCTGCAACGATTTGATCATTCTTCTCGACTTCTTCTCTGCACACTGATGTCTGGACACTGGGGAGCTATGGCTGCCTTCCGAACTCTTCAACGTTCACAGTCTGTGGAAGAAGGAAGACAACATTTCAATTGGCAGATCTTCACTGAGAAACTCTGTTCTCAAGAGCCAGTGCTTGAAGAGCCCAACAAGACTCTTACTGTGTGAGTTAGCCAGGTTTCTCATTAGAAAAGTGAGTGAAGGGCCCTATTTAGGTATTCTGAAATGTAATTCTTCCCCTTAAGAAGAAGTGATGAAGATTAGTATGGCAATTCTATATCCCTTCCCATTCTTGTCTTCCTCCCTTTCTAAAGGAAAGAAGTTGTTTTATAATATGGAATCCTAGAAGAATCAGGCTCCTATATTACTGTATGTTAAAAGCCTTCATGGATAGAAGAGATCCCATGTTTCAAAGGATTATCTGAACATGAGGAAATGAGGCATAGTACTTGCTCTTTTTTTCCCTCTTCCTCATGTGTTTTTTAGGTTTTAGAATGCATTTGGTGATTATTTTCATTTTCTATGCCAGAGTTATTTTAAGAACTTGATTGTGTGGAGCTATTTTTACTGACAATATAGTAAGCTATGAGGATTGTTCTGGAGCATATACAATTATTTCAAAATATATTTTCCTATTTATTTTAATAGGCAATTTAGATTGTAGAAATGGTAAAGCAAGTCCTCTTGATAATATCTTTGCATGATTGAAAATGCACAGATATTTTAATATTTGTACTAATTTATGTTCTGTGCTATAAAATAGGGTTTTCCCCCTAATAACATCTATAATATTGAATTAGAATTTAGTATTCTGGTTTAAGTTAATTTTTGTGTGTCAGCTGCAGCCAGTTCAGTTTTGTATCTATGATCTGTCAAAATCACACGTAGGCTTGGTCTGCATGATTGTCAGTTCTTTATGCATCTACAAGGCATTTAAATAGTTCAGCAATAGATAACTTATGGAATTCCAGATATTGTTGAATTATAACTTTCAGTACTCCCAGCCAACATGGCCAATGATGAAGGATGTCAGGAGTTGTAGTTTAAGAGCAACTTCTGGGGTGCAATAGGGTGTCTACACCTGTCAACAGCATAACATGGTGGAAAATGACTGTTCAACACAGGTGTTATGGCAGTAGTCCTGTGTTTACAAGGTTCATGAAAAACCCCAATAATTGTTTAAAGCCTAGATTCTCAACAAAGCCTCATTAGACAGATATATTGAAAGGAAAAGGGGTCAGGTTACAGAATCTTGGAGACTAGATATGTGTATTTTAGTTCATTATTTAACAGTAACTATGTTAAGGCAGAGCCTCTTTGATTCTGATCTTCTGATCCTCTTTCTAACTGTTTCATGGTGCAAAGGGGATGTTACTCCATGTTTGCTTGATGATAAAGAAGGTAAACACTTACATTTATGACCTGCAATATTTTGCAAAACTCCACTCCCGTTCCTACATTCAGAGATAATTCCATTATAGCTGGTGTAGTGGTTAAAGTCTTGGTTTGGAATCTGGTACACCCAGATTCAAATCTTCACTCCATCTTGAAACTTATTAGGCATCTTACTAGCCCAAACATAATCTATCATCCCCAACCTGTACCTCACAGGATAGATGCTATGAGGATGAAATGAGAGGATACCTTGATGTGCATTGTCTTGAGCTTTTAGAGGAAATAAGAGCTTTCTGTACAATAATAAATAAAATAAAATATTGCCTGTAGTGTGCTGTACAGTGAGTTGCACGGTCTATGTTATATAATGAACATTTTAGTCTTATAATAATTGAAGAAATTTATTTTTGCTTTCCATCTTCTATATAATCATTGTAGGAAACCAGTATTGGTGCTGCTTCCAGTGTTGTGCCAAAGAAATCTCTTTTCCCTGTTGCTTATAGTACAATCTACAGTGCCAAAGGACTGCCTCAGCTGTCTACTTCAGGCCTCTAGGAAAGATCCCAATCCAGATTTATGGGTGCAGAGATTAAGGGATTTACTACAAGTGGGGATGAAAGAGACGAGCTGTTTGACACCTGTCTTGCTATCCAATGCATGTCAACAACAGCTGAAAGTTCTGTGCCAGAAGATTACGGCCCATGGTAGCAGCAATCCTAAGTTAGAAAGAAAACTAAACTGGTTTGTTAAACTGGAAGATTCTTGCTTACTGCCACCTGGAAACACTTCTCACTCTGCATCCCAGATTAGGAAAAAAAGGAAAGCATCTGAAGAATCTCTGAATTTTGACGAGGAGAACCAGAGGAAAAGATCCCAACTGGAAATTAAATTGGATGCAGAACTTTCTCAACCACGGTCTGAACTGCAGGATGTTGAAACAGCAAGCACTGAGAAAGAACTCATGCTGGACATTTTTGGAAATGAAGATGTTCACTGCCTAAGCAGCTTCAATCAGTTTTCTTCCAAAGAAGATGAAGCAGAAAAGAGAATTGTCAGCCAGAGTTCCAAGCATGACACTGTAACAGAAGTTCCTGATCATATCAAAGTATGTAAACTGTTCTAGATTCTTGTACTCCTTTGCTTTATTGATGAATTAAGAGTACAAACATATAGAACTGAGGCTTCATTTCCAGTGAGGCTTTGCATCCATCTTTTCTGTTAATGACAACCTAGAGCAAGGCATATATTTTTAAGGAAGTGATAGGAAGCAAACATGTCCTTTTTGCTTTAGTTTATGGAAATAGACAGCAGGATTGAAACATATTTTGTATTTTTAGGTGAGCAAACACTTTATATATTTCTAATTATGATAAATATGAACATCTATGGCTTGGCCCAAATTACTTACAGGACCACCTTTTCCTGTGCAATCTACCCTATATTCTTAGATCTTGAACAAAAATATCTTTTGTAGATCTTGCTACAGAAACATTAAAATCAACAAAATTAAAATCATAACTAACTCTGCTTTTTCCATGGAGGGCTTAGACACATTTACTGTTGAAGAGGCGGCTGACTTAGCAGTGGACTTACACAGGCCTTTCAAGGTTTTTTAGACTATTGGTTTTTAAATGGCTTGTTTTATTCTGTATGTATGTTTATAAGTTGTCTAGAGTCAAAAAGTAGGAATACATTTTAAAATAAAAATGTCAAAAAGTATTAAAAGCTGGAAAGGTGTAAAATACCATGACATAGCAGGACATAATACAGTAAATAATGTGTCTTAAGTTTATGTTGACAGACAGTAGAAGGATTGTGAGGAGCTGTATGTGATATACAAAAGTAGTTCAAGGAAGTTAGAATCCTTATTAGAAATATGAAAAAAAAAAGTTAGAGAAATACCTTTGGTTTGAACTGGCAAAATTCAATCACATACAAGCAAACAGAAATTTAGACTAACTAGTCAAAGTAGGCAAAGGAAAAAAGAGACTATAGTTGTTTATAGCCTTAGGATATATTATTTATAATATATAGAGATTTGTTATTATAACATTTTACTTAATTCTTCAGTAATTATTTAGTAGTTTTTCAACAACAGCTTATTCTGCTTTTTCATGTTTATAATTACTAAATGCATCTCTTGTGGATCTTGGCAACTGACATCATATACAAGCTTAAAAAGTTGAAAACAGATGCAGCAAAATGAACAGAATGTGCTGCATACTATTATATACACTTGGAATTTCTCAGATGTCTAAGTTTTCAGGTATTCCATCTCAAATAGGTGTGTTCTTTGAGGAAAAGCTGTAGGCTTTGCTTCATTAATAGGAAGTGCCCCAACAAAACAGAATGTGGACATTTTGATATGTCATTTGGATACAGGATAGGAAAGTGAAAACATGGGAGGAAAAAAACAAATATGAAGGAAATTGTTTTGCTTTCTTTCTTGGGTCTGAAATAAAACTTTTACCAGCGTTTCACTTAGGTCTTGACACCAATTATTCCTTCATCCCTATCACATTTGCACATTGGTGGTAGGCATCCAAATGTGAAATAGGTTCTGTGATGTTTGCAGGAATCTGATATATTTATACAGGTGTACAGTTTGAACCATGAGTTCTTATCTCTTTTTTAACTGCTTATTTTTTATCCTAGAACTTCAGTAGAATATATTAAATCAGCATTACATTTTAAACCTTTAAACTTACATTAATAAATACTTTATTTTAGAGTACTCTGAGGATGTAACCCTGGTATCAAGAGTGATTTATTTGATATTTTTCTTCTGTATTTTAGAACCATGTATTAAAACTTAAAGAATTGCTAGAGATGCAGTTTGAGGTAAGTATTTGTTACTGCATTTTCACTTGGGACAGATACTCTCTATTGTTTGCAATCTCTATAGTATTTTTTTTCCTTTCAGTATTCCGATGGGACTGCCCCTCCTGAACTACAGATTCTAAATGAATGTACTCCAAATCAGGTTAGTAGGGTGAAAAATTGTACTTTACTTGAAGGTTCATAAAGGGGTTTCCAAGTAAGAGCATTTGGTCAGACTTCAGGACTTCACTGAAACCAAGCAGCTAATTCTTAATCCCATTTGTAACTGATCCAAATGCAGGTGATACTGTGACAATGGATTTCTTGAGCAATACTTGTGTCTCCTTTCCTTTCCTTTAGCTGGAAGACTTATGTTCACTGCTCAAACTCTCAGAATGCCCAGAGAATGAGCTTCTGCAGTTCTGCTGCTGGATAGTGGCACTGTCACCTGAACTTGGCTACAAGAAGGCAGCAATACTTGCTAGAAAGCTTTTCTTACCTCGGGTATGTATTGAAAATCTGGAACAGGTAAAGAAGAAAAGCCCTTTCCTTTGGCTAAAACATCAGTAATTAATGGATTTTACATTTCTCTCTGACATTTTCATGGTGAAAATATCCAGAACTCCTATATTAAGAAAGCTTTAAGAAAAGCAGTAACTCCTTGAATGCTCAGTTACTTTGACCTTCTGGCTTAAACAGTGATTATATATTTTGTCATGTTAGTGTTCATATATATGAATCTCATCCTAAGTAATACTGATAAAAATTATTTGAAAATTCTGAATGAAAGCCAAAACAGACATTACATGGGATAAGTAATAGTCTTCCACTTAAAACAGATATGTGGAAATAGGGAATAGAGAAATCTGGTGGTGGAGAATTAGGGAGAGTATAGAGCAGAGAGGGAAAGATACAGTATTTTTAATCCAGATAGTTTTCTCTCCAAAATTATTTCCACCTGCTTCTTTGTGTACTTGGGAAAAGATATATGTATCAGTAACTTTTTAAAGGAATAAATCTTAATTTTGAGTGGAGAAATTTTTCAAGAAGAAAAGTATGGAACACTCCTTCCAGTGTTCCCTTCCTTTACAGCTGACTCCATCTATTTAGCTGCTTCTCAATTAGGAAACAAAGCAAAAATATCAGTTGAATATTATGTGCCTTTCTTGTGTAATGTCTAGCCTGGTGATACATCCCTTAGACAGTCATGTGCTCTCTGCATACCTACTTCTCATTACAAGTATGCATATTCATTTAAATTTTAAATATTATTTTGGAGACATAAATTAACACATGCTTGCATAGATTAATAAGTAGGGAATGGGAAAAAGAGAGAGAGAGATCGGGAAGAGAATACTGGAAAATGCACAAAATTTGGACCAAACTACAGAACTTGTGGAAATAATTTGGGTAACAAAAAGTCAGAGGGAAAAGAAAGGAAAAAAGAAACTGAATGAGGCCAGTTAGTCTGGTGGATGGAGGCATTCTCCTTGTATGTTGCTATAGGGCTATGTTTTTTGTCCATAAGTGATAACACTAAACTATCAATTCAAGAACATATACATAATTTAATTAGCATCAGTTCCAAATACATTCACAAGATACCTTTTTTGTCCTGAGCATGCAACAGTCTTAACAGGCAGCTATATGTATGAAGACATTTATGTGCATGCCAATATCTCCTTTTTACTTTCCCACTGCAAGGGAATGCCTCTTTAGGGATTGCCTCTGGTAAAGTCATTCCCACATTGACTTCCACCACCAAGCACAACAGTCTGAAGTATTTGTTCTTCCTTTCAGCTTCTGTTATTTCTTGGGTTGATACCTTGTGCTAAGGCATGGTTTATGAAATAAGCCATGGTGGCTTTGTTAGCATATAACGCTAAATCATAATCATATAGGACTAAACCACAAACAAAATAGTGGATTCATCAACACTAACTAAATAGTAGCTTAGTAGAGTGTGTAAACCTAGTCAGTGTTTATTATCTAGTCAGTATTTATTTTTTCTCTGTCTTCCTGATCTGTAGGTTCTTTTGCTGACTGAGCCAGCTTCCTGGCCTCTCACAACTGCCCTTATGATGTTCTGCTCCAAATATGCTCGCCCAGTCTGTTGCACCTTAATTTATTCTATTGTGCAAGTTCCAGGGCAAGGTGAGCTTATAACTCTTCTTTAAATAAGTACTGGTTGGTTTTGCCTGAGGCTCAGTTTATAATGAGAAATAAAGTATTCTTTCCAATAACAAATTCAGTGTTTGCGTGCTGAAGGACTGGAGTCAGAATAGAGACTCAGATACTTGGATGAGTTTTGCAACATTCAGAAATATAAAATGTGAGATTATGAAGAGGAGGATACCAGTCCAGTGAGGATGGAGCTTGCCCAGTGGACCTCCTGCAGTTGTACTTAGTGTAAGTTGTAAAAGAACAATGCAAAGCAAGTATGTAGTAAGCGAGGAGATGGAAAATGTCTTCCTTGAGACTATCTAAATTGAAATTTTCCTGAAGGACTTGAGGCTGCCTGAAAGTTCAAGTCAGGTATATCTCTGGTAGGATATTTTTATAATCTGGGGTCTGATTTTGTACTTTTGCAACAAAATGGGCAGAAAGGAGAAAAGTGATGACAACCACTGAAATGCTTATTATAGAAACATCATAGAAAACTAATAGAATGAATAGAAACAAAGGTAAATTCATAATAAATAGAGCGATATTGTGTGAAAAATAAAAAAAAATCAATAGTGCAAAGTTCAAAATAGGAATGATGAAAACAAAGGAATAAAATGGGATAATTAACAAAGCAATTTAAATGTTTTAGGCTCTCACAATTCCTCTTTTTACATCTAATTCCAAAGCTTTGTAGTAGATTAACTGTAGTGACATTTAATATAAGAGGAAATAATTTAGCCTGGGTGGGGGAATCAACTTGAGTATCTTCCTAATGCATCAGAAAAAAGGAGAAAATGAAGAAAGAGGCAGGGAAAACACTTGATAGTTTAGCAAGACTTGCTAATGTTGAAAATAAGCAGTAATCAAAAAAAGCCAAAGATATACCAGGTGTAAGATAATTTGTTTCATATGAGATAGCTGCATAGTGTGTGAAAGAAATTTTTATTTTCCATAAACAAGTTCTTCCTATGGATAAAGTTGATATCCAACCTGTATATTGTTTTGGAAAGGAGGTTGAGATTTTCCATCCCCCGTACAGACTTCCCAGAAAACAGTTAAAATACCCTTTAGTAGGGTTTGTAATTTCCAAGGTGTCATCAACTTGCTTTGCATCAGTACTTTTCTCAAAACAAAACTATATTATGAATTCTTTAGCTACAGTTCTTATCTTGTCTGTTCCAAGGACTAGGTTTTCTCATTGATAACACCCTGGCAGCAAAAACTAACACCATTTATTTACATAGAGCCTATGATTTTGTTCTCTGTTGTGGCTTCACTGTTGCGGCTCCTTGGTTGTGTGCTTAATGTAGGGACTTTTCAAGCCTTGCACAAACAGACCAGCTGGGATAGAGATGCACTGCAATATTTTGTTGAATAAATCAAATCTTATTTAAAAATACTTCGTCCATAAGTTTGATCTGGAAACTTCTGCTATTGTTTGAAGCCCTGGGGAAATTAAAATGGCAAAATATTTATTGTACTCCCTGTCATATCCTTTGGAATACTCTTAAGCAATTTCAAAATCAGATACTTATATCATCTTGTAAAGTCATCCACCCATTATTGTACCAATACAAGAGTAATGAATTCAGGCTTTACATCACATCCGTAATGGTTGGATTAAGATGTTAGTGGGGAAATGGCAACCAGTAGGACCTAGCCAATCTTGCCTGATTTTGGAAACTAAGCATAATTGACCCTGGCTAGTACTTAGATGGAAGATCAACTGGGAATTCCAGGGTTATTGACAAGACTGGGAAATTGAAAAAAAATCCCAGAAGAATGTGGTGGGAAACCACTTCCATAATGTTAGCCAAAAAACTATAGCTGCAGTCATTAGGAATCAAGCTTGATTCAAAGGCATCTATACATTCTTGTGATTCTTGAATGATATAAAGTGGACTTCTGAAATGTTCTGTTTTGTTTTTTGCAGGCCTTGAACAATTGAGGTTGGTATGCAAGCTAATTGAGGAGTGTTTGGAACCAGAATGTGTGAGGCTGGTGTTCAGGTAAATGGAAAAGCAAATATAATATTGAAATTGTAATCAAAGACTATGCTGTTTTCAATCTCAGAGTACACTCTGGCTATTGTCTGATGATCCAGAATATTCAGTTGCTACCATCTGACATATGAGATTGCAGTGAAAAGTTTGTTATGGTTTTATATGAATACAAATTGCAATCCTTTACATATCTACAAATCCTACTGATTTCTGTGCAGCTTAATCCTAGGTAATTAATAGAGTTTATTTCCATGTACATTTGGATGGAAGTAAACTAAATTAATTTCAGTGGAACTTCAGAGAAAATATGGTAGTTTTGCCTTTATAAAATATTAATCTGATGTATGGTCTTTTATTAAACTTTTCATTGTTCTCAATTATGTATGGGTCAGTACAATTTATAAGCCAGCTAATTGCAAAACAACTCAAGGTGACATACAACATTTTAAAACACATTATTAAAGAACAGTCAGAAAAGAACTAGTAATACAAATGAAAAAAATAAGTTACAGGGAGTCCTCATTTAGTGACCACAATTGGGACTGGCAACTTGGTCATTAAGCAAAGCAGTTGCTAAGTGAAACCAGGACTGTGCTTATGATTTTACTGTAGCTTTCCTTTGCTTTATAAACCTGCGAAGGTTGTAAATGTGAGGATTGGTTGTAAAGTTACTTTTTAATCACTGTCATAACTGTGAACAGTCACTAAATGAGGCAGTTGCTAAATGAGGACTACCTGTATCACGTTCGGGAAATACAAAACAGCTGAAATATCAGAAATCACTCTGGCCTAGGGTCTACTGGAAAAGCTCTGTTTTAAAAGCTTTCCTAAAAGACAGCAGGGTCAGGGCTAAGTGGACCTTGCGGGCAATGCTGTTCCAGACAGCAGGAGTGGCAACGGAGAAGGCATCCCTCTGAAGGCCTATAAGATAGCACTGTTTTGTTGATGGACTGGAACACACGCACCCTGCCAGATCTTATAGAATGGGCAGAAAGAATTGGAGAGAGGCAAACCTGTAAATATCCAGGCCCTAAGGCTTTATAACTGACAACCAACACCTTGAATGGCACCTGGAAGCCAACTAGTAACCAGTGCAGTTTACAGAGTAGAAGTGTCACATGGGTGAACCAAGATGTGCCCATAAATACTTGTGCTGCTGCATTCTGAACCAGTTTTAGCTTCTGAATGGTCTGGATAGCCCCATGAACTGTGCTTTGCAATGAGAGGTAACAAAGGTGTGAGTGACCATGAAAAGAGTCTCTTAATCCAGGAAACACCACATAAGATAGATATGTGCAAAGGCCTTTCTAGCCACAGTTATCACTTGCTTTTTGAGCAAGAGCCACGAGTCTACAAGGGCTCCCAAATTATGTATCTGTACAGTCTGGGAAGTGCAACTCTATTCAGAACTAAAGCTGGAAAATCACTGAGAACAGAGAATCCTTGAATCTATAGCCACACAGTCTTGCTAGGGCTGAACCTAAGCCTGTTCTTGCCCATCCAGATCTTAACAGCCTCCAGGCACTGAGGCAGGGTCACAACAGCATCACTTGGTTGACTAGGGGTCAAGATATACAACTGGGTATCATCCACCTGACCTTATGCCATTGGCTGGTCTGACCTTATCGTGCAGCCTCATATGGATATTAAATAAGAGTGAGCAAAACATTGAACCCTTTGCAGTATTGCAAAGTGAGGGTCTTGGGTTTGATCCCTTCCCTTCTATCAACAATGACCATGGAGATAGGAGAAGAATCACTGCAGGATACCATGATGGAAATAATTGAAAGCCACTAAGAGATCAAGAAGGATCAGGAGAGCTGCATCACCCCATCCTGGTTGTACCAGAAGTCATCCACAAGAATAATCAATGCTGCCTCAGTATTCAAATACTCAGTATTTGCTTATTCCAAAAATACTATTAAATGTTGTCAATCTTTTACAAAAACATCTTCCCCGTCTTTCTTATTTCTACTTATTACAGTATTTATTATCTACTTATTAACTTATTATCATGTTATCTTAAGTTAAAAAAAGTAGTTGATTTCCCAAATGCATTTTAAATAAACATCAATTTGCACATGATTAAACTAGTATTTAAGAAAATTGTATACTTTTAGATTATGCAAATATCCCATGGATGATACTTCCCATCTGTAGTCAAAGTTAAAAATGTATTTTGAATTCATGTAAAAGGTTTTTAATAATTTAAACCTTCAGTTCTAGTGCATCTTCTGTAGCCAATTTCACATATGAACATATTCAGTATGTGTTAACAAGAAACCATGGTTAAATGTGACTTCCAGATTAGTTTCCTTATTTGTGTAAATTGGGAAGCACCTACGTGATACTCAAGTGTATTACAGCATCTTATAACAATCCAGCTAATGTTGTTATAAGCCACTTTTGATAATTAACATAGTCATATGTCTTGATGACTGGCAGAACATCTGTCTTTAATTATGTCTTTCATTCTTTTGATTTCCCCATCTCTGTTTTACTTTGCAGTCATATTATAAAAGTGCCATGGACAGAAGACCTTCTCACAGTTGTGCATTCTTTGCTGGAAAGACAGGTGATTGTATGCATTTAAGTCTTCTTAAATTTAAGTAACCGAATACGTTGTATCTGTAGAATAGCTAAAGATTATCCTCTCAGATCTAGTATGCTGTAGTTCTCTGACAAATATCAAATATCTCAAGTCCAGCATGTAAATATACACAGTAATGTAAAGCCAACTAAGGTCTGGGCTAATTTAGCATCCAAGGAACCTTCCCGGGTCAGAATTTTATTGGCTGGTGGAAATTTGTTGCTCTAATATTCTCCAAGCAACTGGAACATACTTTAGGGCAGTTAATACTTGTTTTTTTTCCCCCTCAACTTCTATCATCTTCTCTTTTCAGGTAGAATTGTCTAGTGAGCTCTTCAATGTGTTGGTCCTTAATCTTTGTCAGATGGCTCAAACATTTGAAACTTCAGTACATTATGCAAAACTGGTCCTGACTCTGTTGACCAAATATCAAAATGATGTGAGTACTTACTCCCAAAACATGAAAGCGGGATGGAATGTGACTACTTCAACTGTTGCATACTTCTGGTCATCCATTCTATTGGTGTAATGAATCTGTTTTAGTAACTTAGGATATACAAGGGTGCTTGTTTCATTTACTATATAACATTAGTTTTGATCTCTCTTGAGAAAGAGGTCCTAATAACCATCAGTAGTGCAGAACTGCAACTCCTCTGGGAATGTCATTTTTGGCAGAAAAAAGCTTTGCTACTCCTGCTGTTCAGGAACTGGAATGCAGGAAAATGACAGAGTTAACTTGAACAAAGGTAATGAAGGTAATGAAGGATTTGTGGTCTGCACTAGCATGAATTAGCTTATATTTTGTTTCCCCTCTCTAGATTTCTTTGGGCCACCAGCACCATTTATCATGTGCTCTGGACCTTAACAAAACCATCTTAAAGAAATCTCTTCAGGCCACATTGAAGAGAGTGACTTCCAAATGAAAAATGTAAGGAGGCTTTTTTTTTTCTCCTGAAGAGGCTATGGAATCAAGTATGGTTTCAGACTTTTGGAACGACTCTGCTTATTTCTTTTGACCAATTCATTTAATGTAACTCAGTAAGTTAAAGTCTGAGTATGTTCAAGGTTCAAACTAGATATGCACATTGTCTTGGATTAGTATAATTTGCAATTTCATATATACATGTTTTTATTTTTTAAAATGAGAACATATGGCCAGTGAATACTCAGCTTCTTTGTCGTTCCATTGCTGTAGCTAATGATCTATCTGCCTCATGAGTGTCTCTTAGGTGTCACATTTGCCTCCAGGAGAAGCAAATAGTGTTGAAAGAGCAAGAAAGGACTGGACAGTGTCTGGTGCATAAAAGAAGGGAAAGCTGAGGAACACAAGAGTTTTAAACTGTCTGCAACTGAGTGCTTTTTGTTCACTAAATATTCCCTTTATTCCCATGAATGTTTCACTTCCATTATATACCAACCTTATATTTAGCAACTAATCTTCAACTTAACAACAAGGCACCAAAAAAAAGTGAAAAAAACATAAATTGGGATTTATGTACATCACTTGAAAAGGATGAAGATGTTTAGAGAGTATTTGAACATGTGAGTGTAACTATTGCAGTAAAATAACCTTGCTAAAGAGCTAGTCCTATTGAACAGAATGGGACTTAATTTGAAGAAAACATGCCCTGTAACAAATTAATCCTTTACATGTTTACTCAGATGTATTACTAATTCAGACTATGCCTACAATTTATAACTTCTATGTTATAATGAATATATAAATAGATTCATATTTCCAACTGTTACTTAAGGACAAACTAGCTTTCTATGAACAGCAGTAAGTATAAAATCTGCACTACTAGAATTATCTGGATCATGTTAAGTTCCATGTGCATATGGTAGAAACATGATTAAAAGACTAATACATATTATGATTTAGGCTTTTCATAGAAGGGCCTTCTAAATAATAACTTGATGTAGTCTGCAGGAGCAGCTTTAAGCCTGTTTTGTATTTCCAATCCAACATGGGTATTTCTGCTACTTGCTCTGATTATAATGTGAGGATTAGTTCATGTTAGAAGAGATTGTGATTTATATATATCATTGTTACCTACAGAAAAGAAGTAGTTTCTTGGCCTTAGAATCTCTGAACAGGTCCCTCAGATTTTGGGTCCTAGTTTAAACAGCTGGTGATCGTCACTCATGATAAGAGTAAGGTGCCAAAGGTGATAAGGTCAAGTTTATTATCATATTTCAAATGAAGAAAGTAAAAATATTCGCACCTATTCTCTTGCTGATGTTTATACTGAGGATTGTTATAATCTTCCTTCTTTGGTGAGGGGAGTATAAGTGATCAGTATCTAACTACTTAGACAAGTACAGCTGGTCCTCAGCTTATAACCACTTGTTCAGTGACCATTCAAAGTTACCATGGCGCTGAACGAAGGGGACTTATGACT